AATTTGATTTCTATGTGATCCATCTGGTGAGGTCCATGTATATACTTGTCTCTTATGCTGTCTAAAGAAGGTATCTGAAATGAACAAATCATTGATTTTACAGAATTCTATCATGCGTTCTCCAGCATCATTTCTATCACCAAGGCCATATTTTCCAACCACTGATCCTTCCTCTTTGCTCCCTACCTTTGCATTCCAATCACCAGTAATGATCAATACATATTGATTGCATGTTTGATCAATTTCAGATTGAAGAAGTTGGTAGAATTCTTCTATTTCCTCCTCACTGGCGCTAGTGTTTGGTATGTAAATTTGAATAATAGTGGTATTAACTGGGCTTCCCTGTAGGTGTATGGATATTATACTATCACAGACAGCCTTGTACCTCATGACTGATCTGGATATGTTCTTTTTGACAATCAATGCAACACCATTCCTCTTCAATTTGTTCTTTCCAGCATAGTAAACCATGTGGTCATCAGATTAAAAATGGTCAATACCAGGCCATTTCATCTCACTAATGCCTAAGATATTGATGTTTATACATTCCATTTCATTTTTGACAACTCCCAATTTTCCCAGATAAAGACATTGTAATCCCTGATACTGAGTTCTAATGGATCACCCCCATGATGTAATCAGCCCTGATTTAATTTAACTATCCTGTGCGTTGTAAGGCCATTTCCATGAGAACAGACACAAACTACAGATTAGTTTGTTTTTTGAGTCAATATCTTAAGTTATGTTTTTGCTAAGTGTCATGGAGTCAGTTCAGACTCATAGGGATCCTATATAGCGTGGGTTTCCAAGGAGCAGCTGGTGGGTTTGCACTACTCACTTTTTTGCTAGTAGTCTAGTGTTTATCCTACAGCACCACACCAGGACTCCCCTTTTGAAATAAACAAACAAAGCTAAGAGGGGCCTACTACCCCTAAGGAAGAAGAAGCAGAGATGGAGTGTGTCCGTTAAAACCTGAGGTCCCTGCTCCATGGAGCTCTCCAAGGAATGCTGGGCCTACAGATGCTGAAAGGAGACAAGGACCTTTCTCCAGAGCTTCAGAAAAAGAAAGCCTTTCCCTAAAGCCAGCACTCTGATTTGGACTTCTATCCTCCTCAACTGTGAAAGCAGAACTTTCTGTTTGTTAAAGCCGTCCACTTGTGGTATTTCTGTTAGAGCAGCACTAGAGAACTAAGACAGGCCACAACAAAATGATCTCAGGCACTTCTAGACATTACCCAGGGTCAGATGAGATAAAGGAAATATGAGGGTCCTATTACTATTGGGACGGATCCTTGGTGGTGCAGTGGTCAAGTGCTTGACTGCTAACTGTAAGGCCAGTAGTTGAAATACACAAGCTGCTTGGAGGGAGAAGATGTGACAGTCAGCTTTCATAAAGATTTGTTGTTATTGTTATGTGTCATCAAGTCGGTTCTAACCCATAACGACCCTGTATAGGCTTTCCAAGGAGCATCTGGTATGTCTGAACCAACCTTGGGTTTCAAACTGACCTTGTGGTTGAGTGCTTATCCTATAGTGCAACCCTGGAAATCCTATGGGACAGTTTTATCTTATAGGCTTACTATGAATCAGAATCAACTCAACAGCATTGGGCTTGGGTTGGTTTAATATTGTGAAGTTAAGCCTCAGTTACAAATACCTTTTACTTTCAGAGTATCCATTTGTTTCCATTGTATTGCCTCCTTAAAATAAATCCTCAGGAACAGGCTTTAGGCCACAGAGAGCAACAATAGGAATATTTAGGTTAGAATCCCAGCTCCACCATTAAGTACTTATGTGACCCTGAGCAAGTTACAACACCTCTAAGTAAAAGCTTCCTCATCTATAAAATGGGGTAATACCACCACCCTCACAGGGTTATATTATGTTCTGGGCCCAAAGCCAGCCTTCAATAAAGGATAGGGAAGTAGCATTTGTAATGGTTCAGGTACTGTCACAGCATTTAACATATAGATTAACCTCATTTACCCAATGAAAAATCATTGACAAGAGACTTCCCCAAGGTCCCTAATGGCCAAGCTGAGATTTAAACTCAGACATGTCTCAGTTATGGCACGACTCTGTATTTTCCTCTGCACTGTGGAGCTTCTTGGTACATCTCTTCTAACTCTTGAATCGATAACCCCAGCTCTCACAGCCTGGCAGCTACTGAGTAAATCCTGACTACTACTAATTACCTTTCCACTGATCTTCTCCTGGAGGTCCTTCTGTTTCTGTTGCTCCTCCTCCTCATCCAGATGAGACCTGCAGGTCATCGACAGCTTTTTGATCAGTCTTTCCATCTCCCGGCACTGCTCTTCCCTCTGCTCTGTCTCCAATTGTTTGAAACGGCGCCAGTCATTGATCACACCTTTTGGACCTGAGTCGAATTGAACATGGAAGTTACCATGAGAAATGGACAAGAATTATGGACCAGGTGCTCGAAGTTCATAGTGGCCTAAAGCTTGTTCTATCTACCACATAGCAACACCTACACAGAGGCACAGTGGGCTACACGCAATGATGTCCACCAAAGCACGGACTGCAATAATTAAAGGTCCAAGCAAATGCATAACATGAACAGACAAGTTAAATAAATCAAGGTTCAACTACTCAAAGCAACTCTTAGAAAAAATGAGGAGGCTCTAGATTTCCTGATGTGAATCTATACACTTTTATAACTAATATATTACTAGTTAGAAAAGTGTACATCAGATGTTTATAAAATGATCTAGATGTATGTGTATGATATAT